CTGTTGCCCAGGCTGGAGTGCAGTGGTGTGATCTCGGCTCACCGCAACATCTGCCTCCTGGGTTCAAGCAATTCTCCTGCCTCAGCCTCCTGAGTAGCGGGGACTACAGGCACATGCTACCATGCCTAGCTAACTTTTGTATTATTAGTAGAGGCAGGGTTTCACCATGTTGGCCAGGCTAGTCTGGAACTCCTGACCTCAGGTGATCAGCCCGCCTCGGCCTCCCAAAGTGCTGGGATTACAAGCTTGAGCCACCACACCCAGCCAACAGACTGCCGTTTTATTCCCCAGAATCTTTCTAAAATCACTACTTATTTTATTGAGAAACCTCATGCATCAGTCCCTTTGATTTTGCTGAAGATTTTTCAAGAAGAATGCCACACATTGCAGCTGACCCAATGATAACAACAGTCCACTTCTTGCTGTCTATATGATTCCTCTTAAGGCACTACTTGTGATGAAGTTCTAGGGGCTTGGGGCTTGAATTATATTGTAATTGTATTACAATATTGTATGTGAAAAACAAATTATCCTAGACCTAAAAGCCACCTCCCAACTATACTGCTTTATTTTTATTTATTTATCTATTTGAGATGGAGTTTTGCTCTTGTTGCCCAGCCTGGAGTGCAATGGCACAATCTCGGCTCACCGCAACTTCCGCCTCCTGGGTTCAGTCGATTCTCCTGCCTCAGCCTCCCAAGTAGCTGGGATTACAGGTGTGCACCACCACCCCCAGCTAATTTTGTATTTTTAGTAGAGATGGAGTTTCTCCATGTTGGTCAGGCTGGTCTTGAACTCCCGACCTTAGGTGATCCACCTGCCTCGGCTTCCTGAAGTGCTGGGATTACAGGTATGAGCCACCTCGCCTGGCCTATTTTTAACAGATTTCTAACTTCCCTGTAATCTTTTTTACTCCCACGGACGAATTAAAAAAAAATCTTTGAAAAAAGACACCACCTATGTATGATATTGATAATGGAAGCCCCACTGTAGTAGTCATTCACAAATTAGAATGCGAGGGTCTCACACTATTCTTTCACCTTGATTGAAGCAGAGGTGGGCAAACCAGCCATAATTGACCCTCTTTCTTATGGTTTTTTTTTTTTTT